AGAGAGAGAGAGAGAGAGAGAGAGAGAGAGAGAGAGAGAGAGAGAACACAACACCCTTTCCCCCTTTACCAGCAGTCACCTTCACCTTTCCTCAGTTAGGAGCCCCTGGAGGTGGCCTCTCTGTGAGGCCCTCAGCCAGTCTGCCCTCTCTATCATGCCTCACTTACAGCGGGAGCCCTGGGACCTGCAGTTTGGGTTTCATATTTATTTTGCTTTAATTTTGTTTAAGGTTCCACCGTGCCTGAGGCTGGAGTACAGCTTTCTAGTGAGGAGCTGGGAAGATAGACTCCTCTAGCAGGACAGGGTGTCCCTCCACAGAGGCCTGGGGAATCCTTTACTAGTTCCCTGACTTAGTCCTGTCTTCCTGGGGTTCTCTCTCTCTCTCTCTCTCTCTCTCTCTCTCACATACACACACACACACACACACACACATACACACACACTGTGCATGAGACAGATATGGGTGGCTATTTAGGAGGTAAGAGTAGGTAGCACTGTATAAGACACCATGCTATTATGTCCTGAGCTCTCGGCACACGGGGAGAAGCTGAAGAGACTAAGCTCACTGCCTTAGGGTTGCCCAGCTGAGCGCGCTCAACTTAAATAAGAGACTTCAAACACAGGCAGGACCTCAACTTGCTTGATTGGCTCCTTAACGTGCTATTTTGTCTAAGATTAGTGAAGTTTGGGTTCTGAGGGGTCCCAATTTACTACCCTGAGGCTTCAACTTCCAAGCCAAGAAGCCTATGAGAAAGTACCAGAGAAACTAGATCGACTGTGCTCTTCGGGATGCCTGTGGGATGGAATGAAATCCAAGTCTGCCTGACTGCCTACTCCTGAGTCCAAGGATGCTGGCATTTCTAAACACCACCACTTGATTGGGCATGAAATGGAACTTGACCTTGATCCCCCACTTAGCCTTGACTCTCTCATGTGTCAGGGGACTCCTATCCCCAGCCACAGACAACACCGAGCCAGAATCATGTCTTGGGGGCAAACGGGTGATGGGATGAAGCAGTATCTGGGCATCAGAATTGCTTTTGTCTCTTTGCTCAGGGTTAGGTGCTGCCTGTCAACTGTGTGATGCACTCCCACTCACAGGGGCACTGAGTGGCAGGATCTTTTTCTTCTAAGCTAAGCACCCCCAGCTGGGCTCCCAACCATGCACTTTGCACAAACCTGGTTTGAACCCAGACTGCCAGGAACTGAGCAGGAAAGCCCTCTCATAGCCGGCAATAACTACATCACCAAGCCCAAGACAGTTGGTCAACTTTACAGCCAAAACTCTATTACAGAAAGTTCCATTAAATGTTACCTGGAGGGGGGGGGGAGTAGGTCTCTGGACCCTCAAAGCAAAACAGGAACTCCTGTTCCAGCTTCAAAATGAAACTTTCCTGGGGAGAATATTAGAAGAGGAAAAATTAAGCTACCTGCACTATCTTCAACTTTGAAGTTTCCATAAATCTGTCTTTTAAGTCCCTAATTCTTCCAAGATGGGGCAAAGGGGAACACCCGACCCTGCAGAGCCAACCCTGCCACTTGCACCAACCCCGTGGCAGAAGGCAGCACTCCTAAGGCAGAAGCTGCACTCTGATTTGTGTCTGCTAGGAATATAAAGCATCTCTCACAAAGGAGCTCTGTCCAGTCCCCTTCCCAGCTCCACCCCTGGGTAGCCTGGTAAAGCTTCAAACCCTTTCCTGCATTTATTTTGAATCTTCAGAACTTTGGATTTCTCTGGAAGATGTTAAGGCAGGTAAAGGAGGAAAAGAGTACTTAGAGGAAAGAAAAAAAGCGGGGGGGGGGGGGAGAGAAGCTGACTGGATTCCCCCAGGGGGAACCAGAGTGGAACGGAAAATGGGACAGAGATTGGGGTACTTTTTCATCTTTTTCAGAACCTCTTTCCTCTACACTGAAACCTATTTGAATTTATTGCCAGGCAGGGCAGGAGGCTGAAGTTCTTCCTAGGGGAAATTTAGATTTGAGAGATGTCTGATTCTTCTATCTATCTATCTATCTATCTATCTATCTATCTATCTATCTCTATTCTTCTATCATTATAGATGTCTAATACCTCTATTAAAAGTAGCCCTCCAAGAGGTTTAGCACCTTACTTTCCAGTGGGTCACCTCTGGGCTGTGTATGGATGGTTAGTGCTGCCAGGCCAGAGAGAGACTCAAGGAAGAGTTTCAGAAGCACCAGAGCTGATCTGCTTAACCTGTGGGCACTTGGGGAGAGAAAGCTGGGCTAAAGGGGACCCACCAACATCACCCCTGAAGCTTGTATCCTGCTCAGTGAGTGCCTCACATTTGTGCTTCTAATCCTCAGGCCTAGATTAAGAGGGAGAGGGAGCAAGGGTGTTTCTCATTTTTAGGTTATGCCTGTGCATAGGATGCTCCTATTTTTGTCTTCCCTGAAGTCCTGAAATCTTGGCAACCATGGAAGGGGAGGCGTAGTGGGTACCAAGAAATTGACCAGTTTTTTCTTGTTAATCAGGCACAAAACAGCACAGTGACTGAAATAGAATCTAAAGAATAAAAAAAAAAGAAAGAAAGAGAAGAAGGAAGGAAGGAAGGAAGAAAGAATGAAAAAAGAAAGAAGAAAGAAAGAAAAAGAAGAAAAGAAAGAAAGAAAGAAAGAAAGAAAGAAAGAAAGAAAGAAAGAAA